AAAAAATCAGGAAAATTTTTAGTAGTTGGTCCATTTCAACTACCTAATATATTGCGGACATCTTTGAAAACAATAGGCCTAGCCATTTTGAGCCCAACCCTCCACTTGTGATTTTTTTAGATTTTATACTTTTTTTGTCAAGAAGGCATTCTGAATTGACAAAATTTGTCAAAATCGATCCAACCATTCTTGAGATATAAGCATTCTAACTAGCATCCCCTTCCTTTGTATATCACATTGTATATATTTCGCTATATATAACCGATATATTTACTATCGACATCTACGTAACGGTCAGAATTGACCTGTTCGTCTATTTGTGATTTCGCCGGGATAAAAATATTCGCGGTTTAATGGAAAATTTGATTTTTATTTAACACAAATGTTGTGGCCTATTTCACCCACTAAATATTACCCGAGGACCATCAAAATCGGAAGGCTTCTGCCCAGCCCTAAGCTCTAGCCTCATGCTAACTTCCGCTTTGATTGGTCTATAATTGCGACCTGTAGAGCAACTGCCAAATCAGGAATTTTTTCAGTTTTTGGTCCATTTCAACCCCTAAGTATTATGCGATCATCTCCAAAGGAAAAACGGTTCTATTCTGACCCTAGCCCCACCTCCATTCTAAATTTCGTGAAGATCGGGCCATAATTGCGACCTGTAGAGTGATTACAAATTAACATGGACAGACGGACAGACGGACGGACGGACATACATAGCTAGATCGACTCAGCTCGGCGAGATAGGAAGATCCATATATACTTTCCTATGTGGGAAACCAATACTTCGTGGTGTTACATAATTTTTGGCCCAATCAAACTTATAATACCCCCAACACATAGTGTTGTAGGGTATACAAATATATAACAAGTTAAAAAGTATCAGTCGGTTTTGCCGACAGATATATACTCTCAGCCAATGTTCGATTATTTAAATATATTTTGACTTCTCTTACGATTATTCAAATTCTTGACCCTCTAATGACTAGGTTCCCATGGAATGGTCCAAAATTGTCCATTTCGTATCGGACATAAATAAATGTGACATCAATATTGCAACTTGCCAGATTTGGACAATATCGACAGCTTCCTTTACTTTATATGAGATATGTGATAATATTTAATCGATATAATGGACCGAAGTATTCAATTTTCAAACACCAACTAATACAGACAAAAGTATTGGTATGGGCAAAATTACAAGAAAATCGAACATTTGTATCCAATTTTATGCGAAATCATAAATTCCTTATTTATCACAGATTCTGGTTAGAGAAATATTTAGTTAAAGCAAATTGTAAAGAATCGCAGACTTGTTTCCTAAGTTACTATTGAAAATCGTGACCCTTTATTGATGAGGTACCAAAAGGGGTTCGCAGATATTCAGGGTGAGATGAAAGAACTGCAACCAACTTCAGACTGCTGTCATTTCTAAGCCACTCGTACGACAGCTGTAAAAATTATTCCAGTGACAGCTCATTATGTTGTTTACAAGCATCGTACAAAAGCATTTTGGTGAGAATTTTCCAGAAAAGAAGTTATTCGTCATGGAATTCAATCGTGATAGTGTGATTTCCTTATTTTTGGCTGGAAAACGACAAATGGCTATCGTTAGAGCACTCCAGCATTTCAATGTGAATAAATCTTTTGTACCATTTCGTACCATCGCTCGTTACCGTGATAGCGAAGTGGACGGAAGAAAACAGCAACATCAGCAGAAATGAATCGACAAGTAAAGAAGCGACTCAATCGAAACCCGCGTCGCTGTGGCCGATAAATGTCTCATGAGCTGAACATATCGCAATATTCCATTCGGCAAATATTGAAAAGCGCCGGCCATGGTGATGGTGTAGGCCGCCATAACAGCCAGACAGATGGTCGCTCTCCGCTCGTATTAATCCACTGTGGCATCAGAATAAATGCCGAATATTATCGCGAAAATATTCTAGAGGGTGTATTAAAGCCTTGGGCACGCAAACATTTTGGCCGCAGACCTTGGACGCCCCACCCAAGAATAGCTACGAAATAAGGTTCCTCGCTTCATTTCCAGCGCACAATAGCCACCAAAATCTTCGGATACCAATCCGTTGGGCTATTGTGTCTGGAGTATTTTGGAAAGAAAGGTTGGCATCTAAAAAATGCCAAAGTGTCGATCACCTCAAGCAAGCGCTTCGACGGGAATGGGCCAAAATATCGTAGAGCAACATTCGGGCAGCGTGTGACGGTTTCATTGGCCGTTTGAAGGCCAATATTCTCGACAAAGGTCACCAATTGCGGTTTTTTTATCTCACTCTGTATACATAAATCTAAATTTCCAAATGTTGTTTCGAATTCCCCCAAGCCCGACAGAGGGCGTAAATATAGGGAATTTCCACGGAATTTGGCATTGGCTTGTGTCTCTGGTCATGGTCGAAGGGAGTAATGTATTATGACAACATTGACCTTAAAAAGGGAATTAATTACGTTATTTGTAACTCCCTAAGAACCAAACCTGAAGATTGTCATATTTTAGGTAGTCCAATTATGTATCCCAATACCCTGTTTATTGGGTTTCAGATCTGCACTCGTACTTTACCATAAAAATCGTGCTGTAGACTATCGCATGGTCGGCCCGTCCGTCCGTACCTTTGCTTACATTTTTGTCTAATACGGAACCAGGCGGCGAGCTGTTCGTGAGAAAGCAAAGGGAGTACAAAACCACAACCACCACTTCAGTCTCTGTTGAGCTGTTGATGATGCAATGATTTTACACACGACGATCATGGAGAGAACGACAGTTACTCTCAAAATCGTCATTATGTAAGTGCGAAAGACATTGCATATGTATGGGTTGCCGACCCCCGGGTTAATATAAGGTGTGTCTGGTTACCCTAAAATTTGTAACAATTGTTACTGGAAGTCGTCTTTTAACCCGAAAGTTCGGCGAAAGAGAGCGCTCAGAGAGAGAAATTTTGACAGTTCTTTTAGTGAGAGTTTGCAAATTCTTGCTGGACAAATTTCTTCTTGCAATCACTTGCAACTCTTCTTCGTCTTCTCATCCATCGACGTGGAATCGGATGTTTTTATTGTTTATTTATTTTTTTTTATGTGCTTTCAATCTGAAAATTATTATTATTATTATTTTTTTTTTTTTTTTTTTGAATGAGCAAGACTAATTGTTTTTGGAGATCAACTTTACAAACTATGAAAATCGTAAATATTAATATGTAATAGTAAAATAAAAGACTATTTCCAATAGTTTTAGACAAACGCCATTAGCAACACGTTTAAAGGATTCCAGGGAACACATCCAATCCATTTTTCTTTTATTGCTCATATTTTTATGTTATTGCTAATTTCTTTTTATTTATAACACTTGTAAAATTTGTGATTCTTCATTTCTTTTAATTCTTTTAATTGGGGACAAATTGGTTTGTTTTGACAAATCAGCTGATTAGTTGCAAGTTTCTGCAGGAATACCGTCTGTTTACTTTTCTCATTATCCTAGCAAAAGAGAATAAAACTACCTTACTCTGTCAGAAAGATGTTGCTGGACAATTCCTGCAGGAAAAGTATCCACACACACCTATAATTGTGTTTAGCAATGTGGGTCAGGGGGTGCGTATGCTTTATTACCTCTCAATATCACAATAATCATACGCACCAATGTTTCATTATCTGCGATATGAAGGCACAGAGTACTGTAACGCCCAAAAGTCATGCTTTCGTTTTTGGGGTACATTATTATTGTCCCCTAGTAGAAAGAAGTATACTTAAAATACAACATTGGAACCCCTGGTGGCAAATGGCGGAACTACGCAAAACTGTCAGATTGGGATCAGCTGCTGTCATGAGAAAACAACAATCGTTGTCCAGCCAAAAAGGTATAAAAGGAGACGCATTTCACCCAATCGAGATCAGTCTTCTGTTGATGGCTGGTAAGTCAAGTGTGATTGGGAGGAAGAAAAGGCGCGCAACCTCGGTTGAATTGAGTCTTAGTAAGCCAAACAATAAGCCTTGACTATTTGTGGTGACTGGACTGGACTGAACGCAGGGTCAAGTGAGGGTTGTAGCAATACTCCCTATTCTTCGGGCTGCGTTGACGGCGACTGAACGCAGGGTCAAGTGAGGGTTGTAGCAATACTCCCTATTCTTCGGGCTGCGTTGACGGCGACTGAACGCAGGGTCAAGTGAGGGTTGTAGCAATACTCCCTATTCTTCGGGCTGCGTTGACGGCGACTGAACGCAGGGTCAAGTGAGGGTTGTAGCAATACTCCCTATTCTTCGGGCTGCGTTGACGGCGACTGAACGCAGGGTCAAGTGAGGGTTGTAGCAATACTCCCTATTCTTCGGGCTGCGTTGACGGCGACTGAACGCAGGGTCAAGTGAGGGTTGTAGCAATACTCCCTATTCTTCGGGCTGCGTTGACGGCGACTGAACGCAGGGTCAAGTGAGGGTTGTAGCAATACTCCCTATTCTTCGGGCTGCGTTGACGGCGACTGAACGCAGGGTCAAGTGAGGGTTGTAGCAATACTCCCTATTCTTCGGGCTGCGTTGACGGCGACTGACGTACTCATCGGGCTGCTGCTGTGCCAAAGCTGCCGCCACCCGATTCGTCGTGCGCGTATTCATCGGGCCGCCGCTGTGCCAAGCTGCCGCCACTACTACTCGCCGCTGACGTATTCATCGGGCCGCCGCTGTGCCAAAGCCGCCGCCACCCTATTCGCCGCTCGCCTATTCATCGGGCCGCCGCTGTGCCAAAGCCGCCGCCACCCTATTCGTCGCTCGCCTATTCATCGGGCCGCCGCTGTGCCAAGCTGCCGCCACTACTACTCGCCGCTGACGTATTCATCGGGCCGCCGCTGTGCCAAAGCCGCCGCCACCCTATTCGCCGCTCGCCTATTCATCGGGCCGCCGCTGTGCCAAAGCCGCCGCCACCCTATTCGTCGCTCGCCTATTCATCGGGCCGCCGCTGTGCCAAGCTGCCGCCACTACTACTCGCCGCTGACGTATTCATCGGGCCGCCACTGTGCCAAAGCCGCCGCCACCCTATTCGTCGCTCGCCTATTCATCGGGCCGCCGCTGTGCCAAGCTGCCGCCACTACTACTCGCCGCTGACGTATTCATCGGGCCGCCGCTGTGCCACAGCCGCCGCCACCCTATTCGTCGCTCGCCTATTCATCGGGCCGCCGCTGTGCCAAGCTGCCGCCACTACTACTCGCCGCTGACGTATTCATCGGGCCGCCGCTGTGCCAAAGCCGCCGCCACCCTATTCGTCGCTCGCCTATTCATCGGGCCGCCGCTGTGCCAAGCTGCCGCCACTCTATTCGTCGCTCGCCTATTCATCGGGCCGCCGCTGTGCCAAGCTGCCACCACTGCTACCCGTTTATTAACATTTCGACTGAACTTTGTGATTTAGTGTTCTTCGTAAAAAGTTCTGAACGTGATTTTATTGTGTTTAGTGTAGTGTTTAGTGTTATTTAAGGAAATAAATTTATAACGTTTTAAGAAAATATTTTTGCTTCGCTCTCTCTCTCTTTATGTCCTAACAAATAAATTTTTGTGACGACTCTGGCCCCCGCTGAACCTACCCCAGCTTCAAAGTGAAAACACGTCGTCACAATGGCGCCCGAGCAGGGACTATAAAAGAGAGAAAGAATAAATAAATGAGTGAACAATAATTAGACAAGCACAGATGAAAACCCAGTGAAAAAAAAAACAGTTAAAAAAAAAAAAAAACTGAAACAAGTAAAAATAATAAAAAAAAAAAAAAAAAAAAAAATGTCAAACGAAAAGACAATGTTGAAGGTCTCCTGGGCCTATATGCTAAAGCACGAAGACTTGGTAACATATCTTACTGAATTCAATCTTGATCCAGTTGGAAAAGTGGACGATCTCCGAAAAAGATGGGCTAAATTTCTCCACAACGACCATGAAGCCGATGTATACAGACGGCTTATAGAGTTGCAGAACAAACATGAAAGTACCAGTCCGACCAAATCGCCGACATTGCGAGCCGTCACAAAACAACCCCTTATAACCGTAACACCGTGTGGAGCAGAAGCAATAGTATTATCCCCAATAAAAACAGAGTACGCCCTTCCCCACATTTCCGCGGAAAGGCCACCTGGAGAGTCAAGCACAGGGGTAACAAACGATCAAAAAGTACAGAAGATGTCGCCAACAAACCCCGAATATGGATTTCAAAAAGATTCTCCGCCCAAGCCATCCAATAATTCGTCGTTACTCGTAATTCTCGACCAAATCCGAAAATGGAATGTTACTTTTGAAAATGGAATGGACCCTATTGGATTCGTAGAACGTGTAGAAGAAATGGCTGAAATGTACATCGTGGAATTGAATCAAATAAGTAAAGTAATGCCAGAGTTGTTACGAGGTAAAGCTTTAATCTGGCTAAGGAACAACAACCGACACTGGACTACCTGGAACGAATTTAAGAGTGATTTTCTGAAATTCTTTTTGCCACCGAGATACTTTGAGAAATTGGAGGATGAAATTAGGAGAAGGATACAGCGTAATAAGGAGCCGTTTAAGGAATATGTACTCTCTATACAGCATCTTATGCAACACACCAATATGACCGAAGAACAAAAATTGGAACGAATTTTTAGAAACGCGCATTCGGATTATCAATGGTACATTCGCCGTAAAGACTTTACCACACTTTCGGAATTGATCTCCTTGGCAGACGAACTCGAAAGCATACCAAATAATTCTCGGTCAGAACAGCCTCGAAATCAACAAAACTATAATCGACGTGCGGACAACTCTAGAAATAACCTGTATTGCACCAATCAAGGTGACCAAGTGCTAAACGAAAGCTCATCCAATCCAGAAACGCAGCAGGATGAACCCCCGGCAAAGAAGAGTAACCAGAATATTACCTCATTGCAATGTGAAGAATATCGCCTTACTGCAACTGTCTTAATAGAGGGGAAAGCTATTAAAGCAACTGTCGACACGGGTGCCACTAGCTGTTTTATAAAAAGAGAATTTGCGAAAAAAATCAAGAAAAGGTTTACTTATTCACGGCATGAGGCAAATGTTATCCTCGCAGACGGCACCCCGGTGAACATCACAAGATCAACAGTGTTACCTGTTACATTTGGGAACCAAAGCTCAGATGTTACATTTCTCATCATGCCGCAATTCAAGGAAAACATCATATTGGGATTGGAATTTCTAAAACAGTTCCACACGACCATTCACTGCGCCGGTATAAGTGTCAAATTAAGTAAGCCAACCACATCAACGGAGCATTGTACCGTGGCTATAGGAGAGGAAACCCCATCAAAAGAGGTAATAGATACAATGACAGCTACGAATAATGTATCCCCCAGACCTAAATTCTTAAACGATGAATTGAGTAAAACGCAATGTGAGATCGTTGAAAATTTTCTGGCACAGGAACTCCCTAAGTTCCAACAATTAAATGGCCTATCGTCAATAGCTGAACATAAGATTGTAATGACCGACGATCGACCCATTAAATTAAGATATGCTCCGCGAAATCCTGCAATGCAAGCCGTGATTAATGCCGAAGTGAGAAAGCTCGAAGAACGAGGATGTATAGAGCCGTCTACAAGCCCATACTGTTTCCCCATCACATTAGTCAGAAAGAAAAATGGGAATTGGAGAACTTGTATGGATTTTCGCCAATTGAATAAACGTTCTGTTCCAGATGCCTACCCTTTACCCCGCATCGACACAATACTGAATCGACTACGGGATGCCAAATACGTGAGTAGCCTGGACCTTAAAGACGGATATTGGCAAATACCTATGGCGAAGGAGAGCAGAAAATACACGGCCTTTGCGGTAGCTGGTAAAGGTCTATATCAGTGGAAAGTGATGCCTTTCGGTTTGCATTCAGCACCGGCAACCTTCCAACGGGCATTAGATAGTGTGATTGGGCCTGAAATGGACCCCCACGCTTTTGCATACCTTGACGATATCATCGTCATTGGAAAAACGTTTGAGGAACACTTGCGGAACTTGAGAGAAGTGTTCAGAAGATTGCGAGCAGCTAACCTGAGAATAAACATTGAGAAATGCGAATTTTTCAGAAAAGAAACGAAGTATTTAGGCCATGTTGTGAGTAGCGAGGGAATAAAGACGGATCCAGATAAAGTTGCCGCAATAGTGGAAATGAAACCTCCAACATCGGTAAAGGAGGTACGAAGATTTCTTGGAGTAGCATCTTGGTACCGAAGATTTGTCCCACAGTTTGCAACAATTTCACAACCATTGACTAGTCTTCTTAAAAAGGGAAAACATTGGAAATGGGGTCCCGAACAACAAGAAGCATTCTCCGACCTAAAAGCAAAGTTAACTGAAGCCCCCGTTCTGGCTTGTCCGGATTTCACAAAGACGTTCATATTGCAAACTGATGCCAGCAACTATGGCCTTGGAGCAGTTCTAACACAGGAGTTAGATAACGTGGAACGTGTCATAGCCTACGCCAGCAGACATTTAAAACAGGCTGAAAAGAACTACTCAGCGACTGAAAAGGAATGTCTAGCCATACTGTGGGGCATCAGACACATGAGACCCTATTTAGAGGGTTACCAGTTTATAGTTATTACCGATCATTTGGCCCTAAAATGGTTAAATTCTATTGAAAGCCCTACAGGTCGACTCGCACGTTGGGCTCTCGAGCTACAGCAATATAATTTTTTGATCAGATACCGTAGAGGAAAACAGAACGTTGTGGCGGATGCGCTTTCGAGAACACCTTTGGAAACGTTAGACCTAGCCACAGTAAAATATGACACCAGTCCGTGCCCATGGCTAGAAAAGTTGAAGGAAACCATAACCAAGAATCCGAAGAAGTATCCAGACTATACAATCATTGAGGGAAATGTTTATCGACATTTTCCCAAGCAAATAAACGATGAAGATTGCACACCATGGAAGCTGTGTGTGCCCACCGGATCAAGGATTCAGGTCCTTAGAGAAAATCATGACAGTGTCACCGGAGGTCATTTGGGAGTGCGAAAGACTAGCAACAAGGTGGCGAACCGATATTTTTGGCCTGGTATGTTCCAGGACATCAAACGTTATGTCCAGCAGTGCGAATGTTGCCAAAAATATAAAGTCAGCCAACAGAAACCAGCAGGGGAAATGTTGATAAGAATCCCGGAGGAACCATGGGCCACTATTTGTGCGGACTTCGTAGGACCCCTACCGCGATCTAAGCACGGTAACTCAATGCTACTCGTTATTATGGATAGATTCTCAAAATGGACGGAGTTGGTTCCATTGCGGAAGGCTACGACAGAGGGATTAATAAAGGCATGCAGAGAAAGAATTATTTCTAGATATGGGGTTCCAAAAATATTGATAACCGATAACGGAACCCAATTCACTAGCAACCAATTCGAAAAATTCCTAGCAGAAATGGGTATAAAGCATCAACTTACGGCTCCTTACACCCCGCAAGAGAACCCTACTGAAAGGACAAATCGGACAGTGAAAACAATGATAGCACAAGTTTCGAAACAACATAATACATGGGACGATATGCTGCCCGAAATAATGTTAGCCATAAACACTAGTGCATCAGAATCCACTGGATATTCGCCGGCATACCTGACACAAGGAAGAGAACCGCGACTGCCCCAGGCATTATATGATCAGCTCACAACAGGAACTGGTGCTAGAATAGTCTTACCAGAAGACCGTGCCCAGGAGTTGAAAGAAATATTTAAGATAGTGCGTCGAAACTTGGCAAAAGCATCTCAAAACCAGCGGAGACAGTACAACCTTAGACGACGAGTTTGGAAACCAAAGATTGGGGAGCAAGTTCTAGTTCGTCTACATCCTCAGTCGAAGGCCGTCGAAAATTTCGCCGCCAAACTAGCGCCCAAATACGGAGGGCCGTTTGTCGTACAAAAATTCCAATCTCCAGTAATCGTTGTAGTCCAAGGAAAAGACAACATCACCCGTGTCGCGCACTTAAGTGAAATTAAGCCTTTTTATGAAGAACAAAATTAAATTGTAGACATAGAAGTAGAATGTTGATTGTAGTTCCACTTACGTTTATGTGATGCCATTTCATTATAATTTCTTATTTTATTTTTAGACATTAAATTGACAATACCCAAACTAATCAGTGTCCTAATATAAGCCCATACTTCAAAGACCATCGATATCTTCCCGATCGTCATCCTCATCCTCATCAGCCTCGTCGTCTTTATCGTCATCCTCATCCTCATCAGCCTCGTCGTCTTCATCATCATCCACAAGCCAAACGATGACACCTCATCAGCCAACATTGTGTAGCAGTCAACCTTCCATCGATGAAGTGTTTATACCCAGTAAGGAGAATAATAGTACACCAAGTACAATCAAATTGCCAGTCACTGAAATCCCAACTGAGTCAACGCCATCGTCCTCGACAGACAATCCCGTGAACGATAACACATTTCTCGAACTGCCAAATTATCCCGAAAACCTACAAATCCGTATCGAGAAGTTTAAAAACAATTGGAAAAAGGGACACAAACTGAAGCGAATTGTTAAACAAGATGGCAAGCAGTACCGCATAATAATATCAGCAGACGGGGTAGTGAAGGTATCTCTCCGAACTTCTGCAATTGGTCTCTAACATACCTTCCTATTCGACCGAGATATAGTCGAACCAAAGTGCCCATGTCGGAGAAATAAAAGGTTACATAACACCCTAGGGCTTCCTGGCTATTGAAACCCAATAGCAATAGAGAAAGCAAATCAAGGAATCAAAAATCAGAGGGAGGAAGAGATGCCATGTAACGCCCAAAAGTCATGCTTTCGTTTTTGGGGTACATTATTATTGTCCCCTAGTAGAAAGAAGTATACTTAAAATACAACATTGGAACCCCTGGTGGCAAATGGCGGAACTACGCAAAACTGTCAGATTGGGATCAGCTGCTGTCATGAGAAAACAACAATCGTTGTCCAGCCAAAAAGGTATAAAAGGAGACGCATTTCACCCAATCGAGATCAGTCTTCTGTTGATGGCTGGTAAGTCAAGTGTGATTGGGAGGAAGAAAAGGCGCGCAACCTCGGTTGAATTGAGTCTTAGTAAGCCAAACAATAAGCCTTGACTATTTGTGGTGACTGGACTGGACTGAACGCAGGGTCAAGTGAGGGTTGTAGCAATACTCCCTATTCTTCGGGCTGCGTTGACGGCGACTGAACGCAGGGTCAAGTGAGGGTTGTAGCAATACTCCCTATTCTTCGGGCTGCGTTGACGGCGACTGAACGCAGGGTCAAGTGAGGGTTGTAGCAATACTCCCTATTCTTCGGGCTGCGTTGACGGCGACTGAACGCAGGGTCAAGTGAGGGTTGTAGCAATACTCCCTATTCTTCGGGCTGCGTTGACGGCGACTGAACGCAGGGTCAAGTGAGGGTTGTAGCAATACTCCCTATTCTTCGGGCTGCGTTGACGGCGACTGAACGCAGGGTCAAGTGAGGGTTGTAGCAATACTCCCTATTCTTCGGGCTGCGTTGACGGCGACTGAACGCAGGGTCAAGTGAGGGTTGTAGCAATACTCCCTATTCTTCGGGCTGCGTTGACGGCGACTGAACGCAGGGTCAAGTGAGGGTTGTAGCAATACTCCCTATTCTTCGGGCTGCGTTGACGGCGACTGACGTACTCATCGGGCTGCTGCTGTGCCAAAGCTGCCGCCACCCGATTCGTCGTGCGCGTATTCATCGGGCCGCCGCTGTGCCAAGCTGCCGCCACTACTACTCGCCGCTGACGTATTCATCGGGCCGCCGCTGTGCCAAAGCCGCCGCCACCCTATTCGCCGCTCGCCTATTCATCGGGCCGCCGCTGTGCCAAAGCCGCCGCCACCCTATTCGTCGCTCGCCTATTCATCGGGCCGCCGCTGTGCCAAGCTGCCGCCACTACTACTCGCCGCTGACGTATTCATCGGGCCGCCGCTGTGCCAAAGCCGCCGCCACCCTATTCGCCGCTCGCCTATTCATCGGGCCGCCGCTGTGCCAAAGCCGCCGCCACCCTATTCGTCGCTCGCCTATTCATCGGGCCGCCGCTGTGCCAAGCTGCCGCCACTACTACTCGCCGCTGACGTATTCATCGGGCCGCCACTGTGCCAAAGCCGCCGCCACCCTATTCGTCGCTCGCCTATTCATCGGGCCGCCGCTGTGCCAAGCTGCCGCCACTACTACTCGCCGCTGACGTATTCATCGGGCCGCCGCTGTGCCACAGCCGCCGCCACCCTATTCGTCGCTCGCCTATTCATCGGGCCGCCGCTGTGCCAAGCTGCCGCCACTACTACTCGCCGCTGACGTATTCATCGGGCCGCCGCTGTGCCAAAGCCGCCGCCACCCTATTCGTCGCTCGCCTATTCATCGGGCCGCCGCTGTGCCAAGCTGCCGCCACTCTATTCGTCGCTCGCCTATTCATCGGGCCGCCGCTGTGCCAAGCTGCCACCACTGCTACCCGTTTATTAACATTTCGACTGAACTTTGTGATTTAGTGTTCTTCGTAAAAAGTTCTGAACGTGATTTTATTGTGTTTAGTGTAGTGTTTAGTGTTATTTAAGGAAATAAATTTATAACGTTTTAAGAAAATATTTTTGCTTCGCTCTCTCTCTCTTTATGTCCTAACAAATAAATTTTTGTGACGACTCTGGCCCCCGCTGAACCTACCCCAGCTTCAAAGTGAAAACACGTCGTCACAGTACGCAAAATTGTCTCCGGTCCATCGTATTGCTTATGTGGACAAAACCCCTAAAATGTGAGAGTTTGACATTTTTCAAGGATTTTAAAATGTTTAAATGCGGTTTTTGTACCATAAATACCCTGGGTCAGAGCAGAAATTTTTAATAAATTTTATTTTAAAAACTCCATATTTAAATATTCTCTTGTACTATGGTTCATTCTTATGCCCTCCACCATACTATAGAGGGTATATTAAGTTTGTCATTCCTAGAAACACACATTTTAGACCCCACAAAGTATATATATCCTTGATCAGCATAAAATTCTATAACAATTTAGCGATGTCCGTCCGTCTGGCCGCCTGTGGAAATCACTCTAGCTTCCGAACACAATGAAGTAGGTTGATAGCATTTTACTCAAATGTATATTATGTCTGCAGGGCTTTAGGTTTTGAATATGGCCCATGTAGGTGCACGATTTGGTATAGCCCCCTTATAATGGTACCTCCCTATATTCGGTATTTTGGCGATTCTAGCGACATTATTCACCGAAATTGTTTCAGCTTGGGTATTTGAAGTTCGTAATGGATACTGCAGCGTATGACAAAAAATTGTGTGTGCGGGTCCACGTTTTGATATAGCCCCCATATAGCAGTACCTCCCTATTTTCGGTATTTAGGTGATTTAAGCTATATTATTCACCAGAATTGTTTTAAATTTAGTATTTGAAGTTCGAAATGGATACTAAAGCCTAAGACATAATATTGTCTGTGCAGGTCAACGCCTTCGTATAGCCCTCATATAACGGTACCTCCCGATATTCGGTATTTTGATGATTTACGCTACATTATTGACCTGAATTTTTTCAAACTTGGTATTTGAAGTTCGTAATGGATACTGCAGCCTATGACAGAAAATTGTTTGTGCAGGTTCACGTTTTCGTTTTGCCGATATTCGGTATTTAAGTGATTCTAGGGACATTATTCACTGGAATTGTTTCAAATTTGGTATTTGAAATTCGTATTGAATACTACAGCCTAAGACAGAAAATTTTCTATGCTGGTCCACGTGTTCGTATAACCCCCATATACCCGTACCCCCGATATTCGGTATTTTGATGATTTACGCTACATTATTCACCGAAATTGTTTGAAATTTGGTATTTGAAGTTCGTAATAGATACCGCAGCCTATAAAAGAAAATTTTCTGTGCTGGTCCACGTCTTCGTATAGCCCCTATATAACGGTACCTCCCGATATTCGGTATTTTGATGATTTTAGCGACATTATTCACCGGAATTGTTTCAAATTTGGTATTTTAAGTTCGTATTGAAAACTACATCCTATGAAAGAAAATTTTCTGTGCATGTCAACGCCTTCGTATAGCCCTCATATAACGGTACCTCCCGAAATTCGGTATTTTGGTAATTTTAGCTGCATTATTCAACGGAATTGTTTCAAATTTGGTATTTGAAGTTCGTATTGAAAACTACAGCCTATGAAAGAAAATTTTCTGTGCCGGTCCACGTCCTCGTATAGCCTCCATATAACGGTATCTCCCAATATTTGGTATTTTGATGATTTTAGCGACATTGTTTACCAGAACTCTTTCAAATTTAGTATATTAAGTTCGTATTGAATACTACAGCCTAAGACAGAAAATTGTCTGTACAGGCATACGTCTTCGTATAGTCCCCATATAACGGTGGTGCCTGATATTCGGTATTTTGATGATATTAGCTACGTTATTCACCGAAATTGTTTCAAATTTGGTCTTCGATGTTCGTAATGGATACTGCAGCCTATGACAGAAAATTTTCTGTATAACGGTATCTCCTTTTGTTCGGAATTTTTGTGATTTTAGCTAAATGGATTTTATTTTATTCATTTATTTATTTATTTATTTTTATTTTATTTATTTATTTATTTATTTTTTTCTTTTTGAAAATTGCCATATTTGTTCCAAATGATGTAGGGTATTCAAAGTTCGGCCAGGCCGAATTTACAGATTTTTTACTTGTTTACATGAAAAACGATAAATTACCCTTCCTTGGCCACTTTACAGCTGAACTAAATCGTAAAAATAATTTAAAAAAAAAACCGAAACTAATTAGAACACCGAACTATTTACAAATCTGCTTAAAATGTATTCAAAAATATATACCAAAAAAGAGTCCACATCGAATTGTGGTTTCCGGTATAAATAATTTGCAGCCGAATCCGAATTTAAATATATATTTTTTTTTCAAGTGCCATTTAATCGTCTGACGGCATCGTCGTCTGTTTACTAAACACTAATGAATATTAAAGGCAACAAACAATGGAATAATTTTAATTAGTTTTAAGTGAATTACTGGCTATTCAGTCGCTCATTCAGCCACTCGTTCATTCATTGTTTGTCTGTTTGTTACACTTGAATAATTTTTTTTTATTTACTTCTCCTTTTTTATTAAATTCTACAAAAGCTAAATTTCAATTGGATTAGAATAATTGTGTGCGAGTGTGTGTTCGAACAATAAAAACAAATTGAATTAATTTCTCCTCTTCTATTCGATTTATTTTTAGGTTGCAATCGGACCTACTACGGTGATACTGGGCAAACTTATTCCCTGGAATTGCATCGACCCAAACAGGATCGTCTGCCGTACATTTGCCAGCTGACGTTCACAGCAGCTGGTGGCCAACATGGTGATGTTGTACAGGTAAATAATGAGGAGAAGGGGAATATGTGTGCGTGTGTGTGTGTTATAAAATAATAGAAAAAAGCGAACTCTTTTAAGCACCCATTAAAATTAATTTGTTTTAAAGCAAACATTTAATTGTGAGCCATTTAAGGTTGAAGAACAAGGGGTAGTTAGATAACATATTTTTTTAATTGAGGTTAAATCAGTTATTAGTTGTTAAATGAATGCAAAATGATGTATTTTCATCGCCATTCGATACAGCCAAAACCTGCTTCATCGAAAGAACGGTTCCAGACCCTAGTTCTTGTTGGACCAAATCCTGTTTCCAGGTGTCCGTCCGTCCGTCTCTCTGTCTGGCAAGTGCGCACGATAACTCTATAAGGAGAGTATCCGATTACGTTCAAACTTGGCACATCGTGATATTTTTTTCAATCATAGACCAAGTTAGGAGATAGGTAATCGACCACTCCCCAGGTCCCAGGTGTTCGGAGGTTAGGCATTACTACTCTAGATTTTGGTTGAGACAGTGAAAAAGCGAAACTCCTATTGTACAGTGAGCCCACATTCGTATGTATTACCAGCCACCAAAGTCAGTAAGAGCCAGCCAAAAAAAAAAAAATAAAGATATTCCTAGCAATCGGTTTCTGTTAGTCGGAGGACAGAAAATGATTTTAACAAGTAAAAAGTATTTTACCGACAGATGTATACCCTCAGACCTCTTGACCCTCTTTGGAGTGGGTTGTGAAAGAATGGGTCATTATTGTCCATTTCGTATCGGACCTTAATAAATATGATATACATATTATTATAAATATAAAAGAAGATCGAACATTATATCCAATTTATGGGAGATCATAAATTCCATATTCATCTCAGGATTCTGAATGAGAGACATATATTTAGATATAGCAAGTTGTAAAGATTCACTGAGTTGTTTTGCAATTTATGACAGATAAAAATTTTGAAAATTTTGTCCCTTTGTGGGTGACGTACTAGAAGGAGTTCGCAGATATATAGCATCTTCACAACAGATCTTGTGTTAGTAGAAATGTTTGTGTGTGTGAAATTTTGAAAAGAGTTGGATGCTTATTTCGCTATCTTGGAGCGTTATGTTTATCAAAATGTTTAAATGATCCGATCTCTACCATCTTTATAACAGATCTTGTGTTAATGGAAATATTTAGATGTGCCATGACTGGAATGGAATTGGATGTTGATTTCGGGTTTAAGAATTTTATGGATATTCAAAATGTTGAGCGTTTGTGGGGGAGGTACCGATATATTCCGTCTTACTTCCAGATCTTGGGTAGGATGTGTGAAATTTGAAGACAATCGCACTTTTACATCATATTTTTTAAGAGTTATAATTATTCAAAATGTTGACCCTCTGTGGGGTAGGTACTTGATGGAGTAGACCGATATTGTCCATTTTCACACCTGACATTGCACTGACGCAAATATTATGATTTGGAGCAAAATCGAATTATCCTTCTTCTTTTTGTACAAAAAAAAATATGTTTTATTTTGAAAATTACGAGCTTTTGTGGAGGAGGAACCAGAAGGAGTGGACCGATCTTGCCCGTCTTATCACCAGACCTTGGGTAAATCTAAATAATTTGAAGACAATCGGACTCTTACATCACATTTTATGAGAGTTGTAATTATTCAAAAATTTGATCCTTTGTAGGGATGGTACCAGATGGAGTGGACCGATATTGTCCATTTTCGCACCAAACCTAGCACTGATGAAACTATTAGGATTTGCAAAGTTGAAGCAAAATCGGATTATCCTTTCTCTTATTGTGCAAAAAAATAGGTTTTTTGAAAATTTCTACCTTTTGTGAGGGGAGGTACCAGCAGGAGTGGATCAATATTTCCCATCTCTGAACTCGATCTAAGTTTGACAAAAATATTACGATGTACCAAGTTTGGACCAAATCGGATACTCCCTTCGAGAGTTATCGTGCGCACCAGCCAGCCAGACAGACGAATGAACTGACATCGCTAGATCGAATCCAAATATTCTGAAACGGATTTGGTCCAAAGAGACCTAGGGTCTAAAACTCCTCGGAATCCATGAATTGTATGTATACAGGGTGAGATAAAAAACTACAACAAATTCAAACGCCATAATTTTTACATTTTTTTAATTTCATTGAATAACAACAAGAAATGTCGGAAATAGCATCAAATTTTAGAATAAGTTTACATTTGTTCGAATTGGTCACCTTTGGCACGAATTATGACCTTCAAACGGCCAATGAAACCGTCACATGCTGCCTGAATGTAGCTCTGCGGTATTTTGGTCCATTCGCGATCAAAGCGCTTGCTTGAGGTGATCGACACTTTCGTGTTTTTTAGTGCCAACCTTGCTTTCCAAAATACTCCAGAGACGCAATAGTCCAACGGATTGCTATCCGGAGATTTTGGTGGCCATTGTGCGCTGGAAATGAAGCGAGGAACTTCATTTTGTAACCGTTCTTGGGTGGCGCGTGCTGAATGCGATGGTGCTGAGTGCGATGGTACTGAGTCTTGTTGGAATGTCCAAGGTCTGTGGCCAAAATGTTTGCGTGCTCAAGGCTTTAATATACCCTCTAGAATATTTTCGAGATAATATTCGGCATTTATTCTGATGCCACGGTCGATGAATATGAGCAGAGAGCAACCTTCGGCTGTTATGGCGGCCCCCACCATCACCATAGCGGCACTTGAGTTCTGGTGACCAACCGAAGGTGTACACTTTCAGCTGACTTCTTTGGCGATCATTTTGTTTGTTTACAAACAGTTGGACAACGAATGTTTTCTCATCGGAGAAACCCAAATTCGGTAGTTCACCACTTTTGGCCAAGTGAAGCGACTCCTTAGCTTTTTTTTAATGGCTTTACCCCGAGCTCTTTTTTCAATTTTTGCCGAATGGAATATTGCGATATGTTCAGCTCACAAGCCATTTGTTGTCGGCCACTGCGAAGCGGGTTTCGATCAAGTCACTTCTTTACTTGTCGAACCATTTCTGCTGATGTAGCTGTTTAATCCCGTTCACTTCGCTACCAGTATCACGGATACGAACGATGGTACGAGACAAAAAAGATTTATTCAAATTTAAATGCTGGAGTGCTCTAACGATAGCCACTTAGTGTGATTTTTATATTTGGCTGGAAACCCAAATAAAAAAAACCACACTATCACGCTTGAATTCCATTACGAATAACTTTTTTTCTAGAAAATTCTCATCAAAATGCTTTTGTACGCTTGTAAACAATATAATGAGCTGTCCCTGGAATAATTTTAACAGCTGTCGGACGAGTGGCCTTGAAATGACAGCAGTCTGAAATTGGTTGAAGTTTTTCCATCTCACTCTGTATTTAGCAATATTTAGGATAGAGCTATGAAATATGAGAGAGAGATCTTTGGATTACATACAGAATTATTGATACAAAAAATGTGTCATATTGGTCCACTTTATCAATATATGTTTAATCTTTGGTGCAGCCCTTTCAAAGAGATATCCCCTGTTTTTATACCCTACACCACAAGGTGGTCAGGGTATTATGTCTTTGTGCATTTGTAACAGGCAAAAGGAAACGAGATAGACCCATAGCTCCCTTTGATGATCTGCATATAATCACATTCTGAGTCGATTTATGCATGTCCGTCCGTCCGTCTGTCCATGTATTTTTGTAAACAAAGAACAGTTCGCAATTATTGCCCGACCCAGATGAAATTTTGCACAAATCATTTGTTTGGCCCAAGGACGAACCTTATTGAAATTGGAGATAATCGGTCAAAATTTAGATATAGCTCCCATATATATCTTCGTCCGATTTGCCTTTTATTGTGTACCAAACGTGTAATATCAGCCCGAATAGTATGAAATTTTGCACATACAACCAAATTAGGCCTGAAAACAAGTACGCCAAATTTGATCGAAATCGGTTAAGATATAGCTATAGCTTCCATATATATTGTTCATCCGATTTGTTATTTTTGTCCTCTGCAGCCGTAATATGCACTCTGTAACAACAATATTTGGGGAAATATATCAAATACAGGCCAGAAATACATGTGCCAAATTTTGTCGAGATCGGTTCAGATTTGGATATAGCTCCCATATATAACTTCGTCCGATTTACCTTATATTGTGCACCAAACGTCTAATGGGATGGAATTTGGCACATGCGACCGAAGGTAGTCTAGAAGGTAGTATGCCAAATTTGGTCAAGATCGGTTCAGATATAGCTATAGCTCCCATATATATTGTTCATCCGATTTGTTGTATTTGTTACCCACAGCCGTAATATGCACTTCGTAACAACGATATCCAGGGAAATATATCAAATACAGCTCAGAAATATTTTTGCGAAATTGTATGGAGATCGGTTCCGATTTGGATATAGCTCCCATATATATTTTTATCCGATTTCAAATTAATTATGCACCAAATGGGCAATACAAGTCCAAATTTAAAAGATACAAATGCCTCGGCATATTTAGTCCTTTGAACTTTAAATTAGCGTGTATGATTCAATTCTCCCATAAAAACTTTTAATTTAATATAGTGGTGTCGGCCCGCCCGACTTTAAGGCTTTCTTTACTGTTTTTTTTTTTATGTGGAAGCAATGCCATATTTAAGGAATTAGTCGAACATTAAAATGGACAGAGGCTAGGGCTCTATCGGTCCACGATATCGTATAGCCCCCATATAACGGTACCCCCCGATATTCGGTATTTTGATGATTTTAGCCACATTTGCCGACGGCATTGTTTGAAATTTTACATAAGGAGTTTTTTGTGCATTTTTTGTGGTCCACAATATCGGCACCTTCCGAAATTAGGTATTTTAAAGATTCAGAAAAAAATTTTTAATGGATTTTGTTTTTTTTTTATATTTCGTTCCAAATGGTGGAGGGATTCAAAGTTCGGCCCGACCGAAATTACTACTTTTTTACTTATAATTCATTTATTTCTTCATTAATTCCGATCTTAACTTTAAGTCTCTGCCACTGCCGCCAAGGGAAAAC